ATAGATCTTGTTAGTTGTTCAAATGTAAGGTTGTTGTATTATAAGTAGTATGATAAGTTATATATATTGTTATGTATAAATTTTAATATATGTAAATAATTTCTGTTTTTTGCTAATTTATTTGCTAAATTGTTAAAGATGTTGTTGCTATGTGCAACTATTTTTTGAAAATTAACTTTGATTTAGTAAGTTTTAATTAGATTTAGCAGAGTATACTATATTGGTCAATAATTGTAAGAATATTATTTGTTTAATGTTGGCAATAATTTCAGAAGTTTGTTATATTTAGATATTATAAATTAAGAGTTTGTGAAGATTGTAACCTGACTAGATCTAAAACAGATACTAATTACTAATAAAATAACAATAAGTTCAGCTTTGTATAAGAAAAGCCAAACTTTAATTTCTGCTAAATAGCTTTGTATAGTTGTATTATTTTGGACTTGAACCCAATTAATTCTCATTTTACATTGTTTAGTTATAATATATATTACTGATTCATTAGTATAGAAGGTTAGTTGTGAATAATTAGTATTATGTTGTATAATTTGTTGCAATGTTTATATAGAATAATTGTCATTAAATATTTTAAATATTAGATTATTGTGAATTGTAATTGTAAAGGATGTTTTTATTGTAATAAAATGTCTTAATGCAATTGAGTAAAGTAAGTCTAGTAGGTTAGAATATAGATTGAGATTTTTTGATAAATTTGTATAAACAATTCTTTCCAAAAATTTGGTTACAAGGCTAGCAGTAATATCAAATATATATTTGTTTTGTATATATTCAAAGTTCAAAGAACATTCTGTACATTGTTTGCAGATGTAGTTTGAGTAAGGATATAATGCTGTTTGTAAAGTGTTAAACTGAATTGTTCAGTGTATAATAGAAATAGAGTCATCTATTTGATTATATCTTCTGGCTTTTTCAATAATTATGTTAGTTTAGTTGTATATTATTAGTCAAAGTTTTGGTTTTATTTTGTAATATTAAGTTGTAAAAGATAGTGTATTTAGATTTGATAACTGTAAATATTGGAAATTAATTTCTCTTGTTTGTTAGAAGGCAAGTAGGTATTATAGTTTTTTATTTTTAGCTGTTGTGTTGTTTTAAATATAAAGTTGCAAGTTAACTTAGAGACTTGTTGCTTAGATGTTTTGTTTGCTATAAGTATTTTTTTCTTTTGCACTTTATCTTGTTTTGTATTAATATTATTGTACTGTTTTTATTGTCTTTATAATTGTTCTGACTTATTTAATTATTTTTAGTTGGCTAAATTTTTTTTTATTTTTTTTTTAATGTTAAAGTCTCTATCTTCAGGATGTGACATTTTTATTTAAGTATATAAGACATGACATGCCACCAAAAACTACCTTATATTGGAGATTACAACTAGTCACATATGTATTTTTGATGCCTAATTTAGGTAGTTCACTTATACATTACTATATATGTTCACACTAGATGCTATACCTGCAAGCCAACTATGGGTCTTGCCTATTTAAACCCTTTGCATATGTAATCCTGCTTGTATTATAAGAACATCTTTAAAGCTACACCTATTCAAGTTTTTAATGCTAGTTAATATATTTAGAACTACTTTATTCTTAACAGAAAACTTACTAGAGCCTTTATGTCTTATATATACTGACTTAGTTTTATGCAACATACTATAGTTACCTAACACTTGAGTCACAAAGATTATCTGCTTAATTGCTATATTATATTATTTCTATTCTTGTAAAGTTTACTAGAACCTTAGTATCTATCTTTTTAGCATTTTCTCTATTATTATTTACTAGCTACAACTCAGAATTGTTAGTCTCATTTCAGACTATCAATCTAGTTGGTCCAGTATAGTATACTTCTGTATTCTTTTCTCTCAGCAAGTCTAGCAGCCTGGTTAGTTATGTGTTTCTCTACACATATTTGTTATTTAGTTTTAATTTTCAGTTCCTATAAAGATATTTCATGGACTTCAACTGGTCTAATAGTATTGTTAAAAGTTTATGCTATTTCTTTACTCAGAAATTTCTAAATAGGTTTCTGTCATCTTAGTTCCTTAGTCTTCTATATCTGGTAGTCTTATTATAAATTTGTACTAAAGTTTTATAAATACTAGTTATATTCTGGTAGTCTTATTATAGATTTGTACTAAAGTTTTATAAACACTAGTTATATATTCCTTTATATATATGTAATGTTACACTTTATATAAATGCTTTAAGCTTCCAATATTAGTAGAACCTGACTTGGTATACCTGTGTTACAACTGCATAAGGCCAACTGATCAACAGAAGACAGTTATTATAATACAGATATAATTTCCAAATTTTGTCATAGATGGAATTTGAATCTTAGACTTGCTACTTGAAGGATGACAACCCAACAACTGTACTAAGATCACTATTCTTTGGCTAAATTTTTTATTAATTATTTTTGCTTATAATTTTATAATTTTTAAAAGAGTTTTTTCTAATTTATTTATTTTTTTTTGTAATTAAGATAAAATATTGCTTATATCTTTTTTAATTTGTTAAAAAAACTTTTAAAGGTTTTTTGAATATAAATTACAAATTTATTCCAATTATATATATATAATAAAAATAAAATTCAAACTAAAAATAGTTTTTATATAATTTATTTGCAATTTAAACCTACTAGAATAGTTAAAATTTATCTAAATTTGATAATATAAAATATTGTTTATAAAATAGCTATATAGTATTTAGTATACAGACAAAGTTTAATTTTATAAACTGTATATTTTAATAGTAGGCAGTTATTTTTTTATATTAAACTAGCTGCTTTTAAGACTGAGACTTTTATTTAGTAATTAGAATATAGAAACTTACAACTAAAATCTTAAAGAAATTACCTTTATATTAGAGAGTACAACTAACTATATATATACTTTTGGTATCTAATTTAAGTAGTTTGCTAATAGTTTTATACTAGCTGTTATATCTGCAACTTGATTAGAAGCATTGCTTATTCAAACTCTTTATATTGCAATTCTTACTATGTTACTAGATTATTTTTGATATATATGTTAGTTAAAAAAATCTAAATACTTATTTATACTCTTAGAACCTTATATTTTATTTTATATAATATATTCTCAGAAGCATTATTACTAGAGCTTTTCATGTTTTATATACAGTTAATCTAGTTTTATGTAATATACTATAGTTATCTAATACTTGCAGTTAGAGTTAATCTTAAACTGCTATATTATATTATTTTTACTTTTGTAAAGTTTACTCAAATTCTGATACTTATCTTTCTAACATCTTCATCATTTCTTACTAACTACAACTTAGAACTAACAAACTCTAGCTAACTACTAATTTAGATAGCCTGATATAGTATACTTTTATATTTTTTTTCTCGAATTTATAATATTTAATTTTTAAATAATCTTATTTCAAGAGGTGTAATTATTTAGTAAAGTAAACAGGTTGTTAACTTTCAGATAACAAGTCTAGTATTCAAATTTTATAAATAACAAAATTTAGAAATTATATCTGTATTACTGTATTATTTTATCAAATCTGTATTGCTTTTTATTTAAGTTAAATTATTATATACAGTATCTTACCATTATTGGTATAACAAACTATTTTGATTTTGTCTAAAAATTATTAAATCGAACAACCTATGTGACAGAAAATAAAAGACTTATCTCTAATAAAAGTCATGAATAGCATTTAGAAAATAAGATTTTACTACTGTTTTTTGATCATTTGTATTATTTTATAACCTCAAAAAGTTAGTACTTAATTCCTTACTATGATTAATTTTCAGACAGGTTATACAAACTTTTCACGATTCTACCATTCCAACTGGTTACTAATTATAAACCAGAATTTCAATTTAATGACTTTCCTTACATTTTGTAACTGTTGTTTAGAGAATAAAATCATTTTTGCACAATTACCAACCTACCATTATCGATTACTCAATTTGTGACTGTTATATATCTTAGAAGGTTTTCTATTTTACTCAAATCGGCATTCTTTACTAAGTTTATCATTTATTTTTACTTTTCATACACTGAAGTTATACAGATGACTTTCACCCATTAGGCTATCTTTCAATTAATATTGATATCATTCTTTATGGATACTAAATACTAATAATTGCTACAGTTTCGTGTAACCACGTGAAAATCATTAAATTTTTAACAAAAAATTTTTCTTAAAAAAACATTTCGTTTTATTCAAATTTAAAGTTCAATGATTAATTTGGTAATATCTCTACTCAAGTTAATATGTAAGGTTTTCAGGAGATACGATTTGAAATTTAATATTTTTCTTATGATAAGATTATAAAAAACTACTAGATTTCAAATCGTATCTCCTCCGCAACTTACATATTAATTTATTAAAAAAATTTACTCAATTTCTCAACGGATTTTATATCTTAGAAAAATGGCGAGTTTTGTTTTTATTGATTTAAAATATTTAGCAATTTAATTTTTGTTCAAAATTATAGCATTTTACTATGAATCTTCGTGATTGTTACACGAAAAATTTTACTTATTCGACTATACATAGATTTGATCTACGAAACGTCTTCTGCGTTCTAACAAAAAAAATTCCTTGTACGTATAATTTAGCCCTTTATTGGTATTAACCTAAACCATAAAGATGTGGTTATTGAATTAAATCTCGATTGTTTGGGTTTTTACGTTGTACACAATTTTGTGGAAAATCAAATTAAGGAACAATGGGCATTTTGCAATTAGAAACAATGGACATTTTGCAACTTAGCGTTAGATTTTTTTTTACCCAAATATGTTTTTGAAACAAAAGTTCCACTTTCTAGACCGGAATTCTTTTTTTTTAAAGTTAGCATCTGATTGATAAATAAATTTAAATAACGGATAAATGTGCATATGTATTTACTGTTCATAATTTATAGTATATCAAAATACCAACTGGAAAAGTTTTTTCGTTTATAATATACACATAGTATCATTTGTTGAAATTACAATGGCAGAAGGAAGAGAGTTTAGGCCACATGAACCATATACCAATCGCTTAAAAAGAATTCTTGAAGACTACCCTGAAAGTTCACAGGTCCTTCGCGAGATCCTACAAAATTCGGATGATGCCCAAAGCACAGAACAAATATTTATACTTGATCATAATACATATGATGAAAAGAGCCTTCTTAAACCCGAGCTTAAGAGATTCCAAGGACCTGCGATGTTATCAATAAATAACACAAAATTTAATGATTATGATTTTAAATCATTGGAGAATTTGGGTAGTAGTGAAAAACAAAATCAATATGATAAAATTGGTGAAATGGGCATCGGTTTCAATTCTATTTATCATTTATGTGACAGTTGCTCGTTCATCACTAGTAATAAATTTGCAATTCTTGATCCTCATGAGTGGTATTATAGGGGAGGCGCTATATATGACGATTTTGCCACCTTATCAGAAAAATATCCTGATCAATTTTATCCTTTTAAAAACCTTGGAAAAAAATTTAAAATTCCATTTGATGGATCATTCGACGGCACGATCTTTCGATATCCTTTGCGCACTGAACAAGATTCTAAGAATTCAAAAATCTCAGACAAAATTTGTAACCCAGATAAAGTTCTAGAAATGTTTAAAACATTTTTTAAAAATGATAGTGTTGATTGTCTACTTTTTCTTAGATATATTGAACGTATCGAATTTTACGAGTTGAAGGAAGGAAAATCTGAGCCTGAATTAATTTACAAGATTTTACTGAAAGATGCAGAAAAAGTACGCGAAAGGCGTCAGATGATTGTTAAAGCAATTTCTCCAATGATGAAGAATCTTAAAGAAAATAAACTTATTCAAAAAACAACAATAGACGTATCATACAATGCATCCATTGTTCTATATGAAAAAGAAGAAGTTGTAGATGAGTCTTTATGGCTTATTTTGAATATGCTTGATGATTTACATAATGCGAAAACCAAATTTCCGAATGACTTTGGTGAAAGGCTTGGTACTATATCAAATGTAGGGTTAGCTGCAAAGTTAAATTTAAGTCAGAATAACTTTCATGGAAAACTATTCTGTTTTTTTCCTTTTCCGATAAATACCCCATTCCGAGTTTCCATAAATGGGCATTTTGCAGTAAGCTAGTATTCATTACCAATCAATAAAACTTGCAATGACATGTGATTAATCTTTTAATTCAATAGGTTACTAATAATCGACGTAATATATGGTACGAAGATCCTAAAGATTTGGTAATTATAAACTTAATTTATTGTCATTACTATTAATAGTGATATTTTAACATTTGTATAAATGTTTACTTTGTTTCAGTTCGATAAATCTTTGGCTAATTTGAAAAATAAATGGAATCATTATCTTTTCGAAGAGGTATTTGATTATTTCAGTATTTTCAAATAATTAAAACTTATTGGAGTGATGATTAACCCATTATATAAAAAATTTTTCAGGTTATACCACAAGCTTGGGTGAAATTTATTATTAAGCTTCAATCCCATGTAGATCAAAAAGAAGCTTACTATAAGTTTTGGCCAATTGTGGATCCAGCTCAATTTACATCAATATTCTTTATAGATCTTCTAAAAAATATGATGAGAAAGATTAATGCAGACGATAAAATTTTTCGTGAACATGACCAAACGTTATCTATTTCAACGGGATATTTTCAAGATAAATTGTGTGTCGAACCAGATATATTGAGTAAGATTGGATTTCCACTTATCACCGCTCCCTCCGAAATCATTGAAGCGTTAAAAAACTCTGATAGGCATTCTTCTCTCAGATTTTATAATCCTAGTATTGTGAGCGAATTTCTTCAACGTCACGAAAAATGGCATGATAAGCTGGAAAGAAATGAGATCTTAAGATTGTTCGGTTATTTAATGAACGATGAAAATTATGAGATATTGGAAGGTCTGAAAATGATGCCATTGGCTAATGGAGAATATAAAACAATATCTAGAGACGGCACGGTAACGTATATATGTCCAGATCACCTTACGGGTCAAGGTGAAAATGATCCACGCGAAATTTTTGAAGATCAATCTGAAAAGTTCATTGCTAAAGACATCTCACCCGATTTATTGAGTCGTTTGATCGATAAAATAACAAAAGGATGGGATTTTAAAATCGAGATACTAACTCCACAAAATATTGTTGACATGGTTAAAAATAAAATTGATCTAAACGATAAGGTTGACCTTGAATGGATTAATCGACTTTGGCGTTATTTATGTAATAAATCCAATGAAATTGATTTGAAATTATTTGAAGATCTCGATATTATCCCAACAAAACAAAATATCGATATTCTCAGAAAACTTAAAACAAATCAAATAAAATATTTTTTTAACAGCATGCAGAGCCATTTTGATCAGGTATATCCTATTCTTGAAAAACTTGGCATAATTTTTATAAATAGCGAATTTGAAAACAATGTAGTTCATTTAAGGACAAGGTGCGTAGTGAAATATTTATGCCATTTCTATATTTATTAATAACATTTGTGTTAATCTGTACCAACAGGCTTTCAGCATATATTTGCGATATAAGTGATATAAAATCAGTTTTATCATCGATAAACACGGATGAAGCATGTAAATTAGACATGAATGAAACGGAACTTTTTATAAAATATTTAAATTCTTTACACATTACCTCAGCTCTTGCCAAGGATCATATTGAAACTATAAAATGCTTACCAATTTTTAAAGAGGTTGGTAAAAGTGAGACTACGAGCCTAAATTCTGATGAAAATGTTTCTTGGTTTCTTCTGCCAATAGAAGATGAAAATGACTACGGTCAGATAATTGCACCACCAAAGGAATTTAAGTTTCTTGACACAACATCTACGGATATACGTTATTTGCTAGAGAATATTATCAAAATTCCGCGTTTGCCACAAGTTGATTATTGGAGAGATTATGTGATAAAGTATTTGGAAGTTAACCATAATAAAGAGATTGTAGTTGGAAAACTTTTTGAACGACTGCCAAGGCTTCTTTTTTCAGACAGTTCGCTAATAAACAAATTGGGCAATATTCCTATTGTGCCTTGCGCGACGATTCGAGTGGCTCGAGGACAAAATATTGATCCAATCAAGTACAGAAGACCTATTGATCTTTATGATTCTTCTATACCTGAAATTACGCAATTATTTTTCGACGATGAGCAAATTTTCCCAACAGAGAAGTTCTTGAATCTACACCATTACTTTTTGAAAACTCTGGGAATTAAAACTTCACTTTCACCAGTAGATATCGTTGAGAGAATTAATACATATATAAAACGCCAGGAAACAATAAAACCTAACGATGAGGTGTACGATAAATCGCGCAATCTGCTTATTTATATTGATGAAAATTGGAATTTACTCTTAGATAAAAATGATGAATTTTTATCAGTTATTAAGTCTTCAAAATGGATTCCGACTATTGACAATGTTGGTAAAAAGTCATTCTCTAGTTCATCTGAATGTCGAGACAAAAAAGATGAGCATTTAGTATCATTGACCCTTTCAATTCTCGATTATCAAGTCAAGAGTCAACTTCACGAGCATCTGGGATGGAATAGACGTCTTCCTGTAGATATTATTCTTGAACAAATGAAGATATGTTCTAAGAAAATTTTAAATAATCAGCCAAAAATTTGCGAGGCGATTTACAAATATATTAATGAGTCTCTGTCGCACGACGATGAAAAGTCTAAGCAAGAAGTCAAAAAAATAAAAGATGAATTAAAAAATATAAAGTGGATTTTCTGTAAAGGCAATTTCTATGCAACAGAAAATGTTGTTTTTAATCTTTCGACGAATTTTGTTATACCAATTATTCAATTGCCCGATAATTACCGAAATAGCTTTTATAAAGTATTTAAACAGATGGGGGTTCGAGAAAAAGCTGAGATTTCCGATTTCATTAAATTAATCAATAACATTGCTCATGAAGCAAAGAATAAAGCATTAAATGATGACAATTTATCCAAAACTATTGCAATCCTTAATCAAATCGGAAAGGAATGTAATAAATCTAATGAGAAAAAGACTGATGATTTGAAAGGTTTGCTTATTCCAAGTACTAATGCTATTCTTTTCAGCCTTGAAGAAATTAATTTTGATGACATGGCCGGACTAAATAATGACGAAAAAGAAAACTACAAATTTTCTCACCCCAAAATATCACTTGAGCTTGCTAGGGAACTTGGAATTCAAATGCTTTCTGAGACATTTATAGAAGGCAGTGATATTGATTTTGAAATCTATGAACAATCAGAGTCTTTAACCGACAGGATAAATAAGATTATTAGCGTAAATATTGAATATTTAAATTAATAATTTAAGTTTATATAATTCGCCGTTTTCTTGTAATTAACACAATGTTAATAACATCTAGAACTGTACGCTCGATTCCTTGTTTAGAGAATTTCTTCAGGTATTATATTTAATAATTTTTACAATATTCACAACGTCATAAATAATTCGTACATTTATTTAGAATGCTGATGATGCGGGAGCGCATAAATTTTCTATATATATCGATGAGAGGCCATGGCATAAGAAGCCTGATCAATCCACACTCTTATCTAAAGAAATGAGTATACGGCAAGGTCCAGCTATTTGGATCTACAATGATGCGAAGCTTGAAAAAAAAGATTTTTCTTCATTGATTAGACTTGGCATTGGAGGCAAATCTGAAGATGATAGCAAAATAGGTCGTTTTGGAATTGGAATTACTGCTGCATATTTTTTAACCGATATTTTATCTATTGTGAGCGGAAAACAAATTGGTTTCCTTGATCCTCATGCAAAATTTCTTCCAAGACGATCTCGAGGAATTGAGTTAAATTTCCTTGACAAAAAACTTTTAAATCGGTTTAATGATCAATGTGAACCATATCTTGCTGTAGGTTGTGATTTTAAACAAGATTTTAACGGAACCTTGTTTAGACTGCCACTTAGAAGCATTGAATTATCGAAACAAAGCTTATTCTCACAACATTCAGTAGGACATGAAAAGATTTTAGAATACCTTTGTAATTTGGAAGGTAATCATGAGATTCTTTTTTTAAGAAACATCGAAACATATAATGTATATCGTATAGATAAGAATGAAAACAAACGGTTGATCTGGGAGGCGAAAATTCAAGATTTAAAAGAAGATATTAGGGACATTCGTAGCAAAGTTAATTATGAACCACAAGTTTTTCAACTTAATACAAGGATCGACGCACAAAAAAAGAAGACCATTTTTGAAGTATGGCTTGTATGTACAGGTGGAATACCCATAGTCAGGGACTCGGAGTTATACAAATTCTCAAAAAATGAAAGAATTACTGTATGTGTTCTTTTTCGTGGGCCTTTGTGTATTCTGATTGTCACATAATGAAACCAATATTAACTCTAATTTTATCTCAAGGCACATGGTGGTATCGCTGCCATTCTTACACGATCAGATAATGAATCCTTGAAAAATCCTTTAGACGTAATATAATTCATGAAATTTATCTTTTTTATAATTTCTTTGCAACTAATAGCTTATCTATATCTGATATAGTTAACATATCCGCCCGTTCTTCGCGGCAAAGAATACGCGTCTATTCCTTGTAATAATTATACTAAATTAAATGTGCACATAAATGGCAATTTTTTTTTATCTAAGGATAGAATGGTTTTACAAAAAAATGATGCCTATGGAAAGTGGAATCAATATATTTTATTTGAAGTTCTCCCACCTTTACATGTTAAATTATTGGGTGAAATCGCCAGAATAAGTTATGAACATTTCGAGAATTCTAATATCAAACCCGAAAATTTTATTTCATGTATAACAAAAAATTTTTGGCCATTTGGTAAAGATATGCGGGTTCATTTGGATTATTATGATTATGCATTAAGAGATATGGGGGTTCATTTGGTTCATTTGGATTATTATGATTATGCATTAAGGGTACTGCAAAATCTTGGTGAAAGCAAAGTGTTCTGGACGGAAGCAGAAGGTGGCAAGTTTGTGTCATTAAATGATGCATATTTCTCTGAAGAAAATGATCATACTATTGCAAATATTCTTGCTAGGCATGGTATTTCAACGGTAAAAGTGGACAAAGTCATACTTGATCAATTGAAGATGTCCCAAATCCGAAAAGGAAAATCTGATATAAACGTGAAGGATCGACTTATTGGCCCTGCATTTGTTTATAAAAAATTACAAGAAAACAATAATATTTTAAAATCCTTTCAAGATTCTACAGAACCTCATAAAAATGTTATAATTTTGTTAAAATTTGTTTTACAAAATGATAATTTATATCAATCTCTAATTGGATTTCCATTGGTGCCACTACAAGATGGTTCTTTTGGTACTTTTGGAGAACGAACTTTTTATATTGCGAAGAAAAAATATCAAGATTTATTTCCAATATCTGGTCCTTCCCGTTTTATTGTTGATTTAGATGATGAACTTAGCAGTATTTTTGAAAAGAATGATTTTTCAAGGATTACAAATATAAAAAGACTTGACGCATCAGGTATTCTCGATCTTTTGGCCGGAGAACTTCCTTATAAACAGGAAATTGATTGTGATCCTTCCTCACAAAATATTCCTAATCGGCAATGGCTAGATAATATCTTAGAAAAGATGAAATGGGGCATAGGATTAGAAATCGCAAAATTATCAGAATATCCATTACTCCCTGTAATTTTACCAAGCGGCAAACACAAACTTGTTCAAATGAATCCGTCAAGTCCTTTATTGACTTATCCAGATAATCCGGATGAAATTCTTGTGCGTGCTCTTAGAAACCTAGGAATTTGTTTCACAGACATAAAATTTAATAAAAAGAATATTAATTCAGAGTTTTTGAAGAGAGGTGTACTTAACTGGAATTATTATAATATATTTGTGTCTATTAAGAAAAAACAAGAATCACAAAATATTTCCATGGAGTCATTTTTCAAAAATGCAGAGTTGGATGAAGATGAATTAAATAAGCTTAGAGAGTTCATTAAAGCTTTTATCAATTCTTCACGAGGTTTGTTTAGTGTATCTTTCTAATTTGATATAATTTTTATTATTCTATCATCTCAAATAAATTTATTTCGACCACTCAAGGGCAAGGAGCCGATAATATTGAAGTCATCCAAGAACTTCCTATATGGCCGATTTACTCATCAAGGAAGTATGAATATATTTCCGCAAAAAAGGGGAAATTGCCTCCACATAATCTTCCCTGCTATTCATTTGATAAAGATTTATTTAATATACAACATGAATATTATAGTGTTCTTACTTCACTTGGTGCTAGAACGTATAATGAATTCGATTATGTAAAACAGTATTACACTCCTGATTCGAGAGTACGACCAACACAAGAAGATGTAGAATTTCTTGAAAAAATTCTTTTACTTAAAGATAAGAATATTATGGATTATCTTGAGAGTTTTGAATCGATTCCAAATAAAACTCTTGAAGCATTTGTGAAGGCCGATGCTTTATACAATGCGGATGAAGAATTTTTCACTCAAATATTTGATGAGAACAAATTTCTCCCTTTAAAATTACAAAATAATCCCGGTTGTCTTTATGCTTTATCAAGGATAGGACTCAAATTGAACATCAGCAGTAGTAACGCATATACTGAATGTGCTCGTGAAATTGAATTGAAAATTAATGAAATTGGCAATCCTAGTGATGATAAAATTAGGCCTATTGCAATGGAGTTAGCAGGACTTATTTTCCGTAAGTTGAAACCCGTAAAGGGGTTGGATCAACTTACCAAAATAAAATTTGTTCCTTCTAAGAAACTTCCGGATCCTTACGGCACGACGGCTGTTCATACTTCGGGATATGAGTCATTTAATTCTTTATACTCAGATAAATATCGAAATATATGCTGGACTCAAGCAAAGTTTTTTGATGATGATGTTGCATACTCTGGACAATCTCCAAAAATTGAAATGGTTATTGAGCATTGGAATTATTTGTTTGTTGGAAACATTTTTCAAAAAGCAAACTGGAAAAGTAGTACCATACATAAAATTATGGAAGATATTTATCAATTTGTGTGGAATTTTTTGAAAAAAGAAGATGGAACTACAAAACTTGAATTAAAAAATCTGCGTTTTTTAAATGGTGATGATCCTTTCGATCCCGATTGTTGGGTTTCGGGTAATAAACTAGTCTTTGGCATTCAAAATGATAAAGAAGGTGATTTATTTAAAGTAAATAGTCGTTTGGAGCCATTTAAAGAATTATTGATAGCTGCAGGCACAATGAATATAGATAATGAAATAGAAATTAATAAGATACCAGCCAATCATTCGCAGAAAGATGAGTTGATTAAACATTTAATCAAGTGCTTGAATGAAGAGCCTAATCTTCATGACGTTATATTTGAAATTGGAAGTGATAAGATTGGCGCAAATCGCTGTGTTCTATCATGTATGCATATTTCCTTAAATTATATATATATATTCATGTATAATAAATATTCTCTAAATTTTTCAGGTGTTGCGGATTACTTTGATTGGAATTTTTCCGAAAATCCCATAAAAATTGATAACATTCAACCGAACATATATAAAGTACTGTTGAGATGGCTTTACGGTATGCCATATTCGGATGCTATTAAAGAAATTTTCGGCAAGGAGCTTTCTGGACAAGATTATTTAGACTTTATGCTTGAATTTCTAAAAGTATCGTATAAATATCAACCATTGAAAAGCATAATTCAAAATGAAATCGTGGATAAGAGTTCTCTTATAAACGAAACTAATGTGAAGATTGTGAGAGATTTGAGCGACGACTGTAATGCAGAACTGCTTAAAGAATACTGTGAAAAATACATCGAAAAAAATAGAGATATCATAGACGCAATTAGCACTTCACAAAGTACAAACGTTTCCCAGAATTCACTGTCTAGTGAAAATTTTCTGGATTAATGATTTTTTAATTTTTGCACATCAAATAGGTATTGATTATAATTAATTTAGGAATTAGAGTTATGTAATTGTTATTAAAAATTAAATAAAAGTTTTTGCAAATTCCTATTTTAAATGAATTACAGTACTGTATTTATTGCACAAAATATTTAAATGCACAATTTAACAGGTATCTGCAATTTTAATGATACGAAATTGATAACAATCTTGGGTTGTTGATTGTAAGTGGATTTCAAGGCTATGTTAATAGAAAAATATTATTCTAGTCCTCTTTCGTTGGAAATCTACACAATCAGTAGATTTACAAATATAGTGCAGGTCATATGGTAAATACATTTTTTTATAAATCAACGATAGTGATAGGTCTTGAACTAGCAAATAAAACTTGTCAGGTTTGTTTTAATATGCTTTTTAAATTAATAACGCTCTTTTTTTTGGTTTCTTATCAATATCCGATATTCTTTATCTTTAAACTGAAACAGCAACAGTGCAAACAGCAATTTCATTGTTACGTTTTTGAACTTAGCATAAAAATTGAGTGTCTTCTGCCATACTCTAGACAATAAAATAAAATAAAAAAACCAGCGTTATTACTTCAAAGAGCATGCTAAAACAAACTTGACAAATGTAATTTTATTTATGTGGGATTTCTGGTTAAAAAGTCATTGCAGTTTGAATTTTATGTTTTACGTCGATCTATAAAAAAATTTATTGAGAATTTACTAAAGGTCCGGTCCAGTTCGACTCCATGAAGTCGAGTTTTACAGCTGTTTTCATTATTTTTGGGATATCGACTCGATAAGTTTTTGATTTAGGTAATAATTTGCTAAATGACAATAATGATATGAGTGTTGTACAGAGAAGAATTTACAATGAGTCATCAAGAGAAAACCTGTCATCGGGTGTTCAATTATATTTGTATCAGTTGCAATCAGTCGATACAAAATATAATTGAGAACCCGATGACAAGTTTTCTCTTGGTGACACTAATTTATATTAGATGTGATGCTTCCTGTGCAGCACTCATATTTCACATTTAACTCATTTAACTGCGGTTATTTCAGACAAGAATAAGCTTCTTGCTAGCTTTATATTTTGTTGATTATAATTCTTAATGCAGTTTAGACAAAGATTAATAAAATCTTGGTTGTTTAGAATAATAACTTGCGGTATATATTTGTTTTAAACCAGTAATAAATTCTTGTTCATATTGAACTTTTTTCATTAGCGCCTGCTCGTGTAATGTATTTATTATGAAAGCTTTATATTTTTTGTCAAGATCTGTTAATTGGAAAGAACAACATACCAGAGGAACCGTCGATGTTACACGACTGATAAAAAATTATTTTACCAGATAATCCCACTATCGCTACGTATAATAAAAATGGTAGTATCGCCGTCAAATTTTCACTTTCACATGATGATAATCCAATAGCGATTCTCGTTTTAATGTAACGTTACACGATCAGGATTTCAAAAACTTACATAAGAAACCACCTTTTGCTAGATCCTCCTGTTATATAAGGTAAAAGGGTCACGTTAAGCTAAAAATTATTATATTTCGTGATCTATTGCTCCAAATTTTATACTATTAGAATCGTCTAATCGAGACGAATCGAAATCGTTTGATTCTGATCGATAATTAGATCCAAATATCGTATAAATTAAAGTAGATATAGTGGCTATAGGGGGTATTGTGGCCACTCGGTTACGATCTCATGATCTATCGATCCAAATCAAACGATTTTTATACCATTCTATTCGTCTCAGTGAGACGAATCGAATGGTATAAAAATCGGTTAATTTAGATTACTGTGTCACGAGACATTGATGTTTGAATATTTTATAAATTTGAGTTTTAAAAAAATAAAGCTAAAACATTCAAATGTCAATATCTTATGATACAGTGATCCAAATTAAGCAATTATTATACCATTCGAATCGTTTCACCGAGATGAATTGAATGGTATAAAAATCATTTGATTTGGATCAATTCACAATGAGATACTTCGGGTGGCCACAATACCCCCATCTCCCTTATATCATATATTTTATCCCGTATTTTTACCATATATTTTTTATATATTATTTTTATTATGTATATTTCAGAATTTATCATATTATATTGATTTCGATGCTAAATGTGATTAAAAATTTTTGCTTGCCAAAAGTATATAATTTTTTTTACATTGAAAAATTATCCATATATGTTTATATAATTTCAAATCGTAACTACTAAGAAAAATGAGTAGGTGGACCATCTTTTATAGAGTATTTGCTACATTCAAGCTATTAATGTAGGAGAATCTCGAAGGCCTTTGTTGGGATCTTGATTTTTCGAAACCTTCCTTTACTTCCCGAGCCAGCAACTAAATTTGTAATTTGCTATTAATACTTGTTAACACAAATCATTTATTAAAATAGCAAGAATACTTACGGCCCACTTTATCACGCATTCATAAAAGAACACAAAGTCCACCATCTCTGTAAAGTCACGTGGAAGATTCGCATTATCCACTTCATTCAGACAGAACTTTCCTTCTAAGATAAAAATACCATTAGTCAATAAAATGAAAATTCTAATATAGACAATAGTATAAATCAAACGTACATAACTTACCACAATAGTTTAAAAATTGTAGGTGAATTCTAAGGCGGAAACTTTGCCCACCGAAAACAGCAAGTGTTTTGGGAAATCTGCGTCTACATTTTATGTTATCTTTTATTATATTTATAAAAATGCTTTGAAGGTTATTAGATATTTTGGAGGCATCCGTTATTTCTTTGTCATTTTTAGCATTTATCCTTGTGCCTTCCATATAAACTAGCTGAAATTTATCAGCAGTATTTAGGTGTCCTACACCATCAGCGCATTCACGTTTTACGTGATTTTTTGATCCAATTTCTCCGAATTCATAGCATATTGCTGAAATATACCAAAGAGACGCCTGTAGACATGGGTGGACAAAAGAGTTTAAATGTGGTTTTTCTAATGTAGCTAAGTTAAGTAGTGGATTTCGAGCCCCCATAGAAAACGCCATGATGCTACAAAATTTGAGTAAACATACTGTTAATATGGCACCTATGGGTGATTGCAAAAGTATTTGTACTTGGTGCTTACAATGGAGGTAGTGTTCTGCGCAAAACGCGTATAACAGATACCATTAGCCAATCACTTTGATCTAAACAGCATAGATCATCAATCTTGATGTGCCATTCCTCGCTGGTCAAATCTTGCTGAAAAAACTCTATCAGGAATTCGTGAATATTTAGTGGAATTAAATTTTCAATTTTGTCGTCAAGCTCTTTAAAATATGGTTCCAGAATTTTGAAAGGAAGCTTATTGAAATAGTTTGAATTGGGCCGTAAGTCTATTAAATTTTCATCAGGATATAGTGTATCATGGTGTTGGCAGATGGATTTCATATTTTCTGAGCAATAAAGATTGCCACCAAGCAGATCTTTTAACGATTTCTGATTTGATTCCTACAGAAAGAAATAAATTTGTCAATATATTTCCTGATATTATACATTATAAATAAGAATTTAAACACTAAAACAATCACATCTGTTTCAATGGTACTTGAAGCTGTTAACGTTGAGGAGTTCTGCTAATAGGTTAGAGTATTATAAAATTAATGTTTTAACAGTACAATTAATTTCCGAAGACGAAGGAATATTATTAAACAACTTACATTGTCAATTTGAATATCTTGATTTTTATCAAAGTGGTCGTTCTTTTGAGTAACCACCTCATCGTTTAGCTCATATAAACTACTAGAAGAAGAATTTTCAGAGGCATCGTCATCTGTTATCGATTCGCCATAAAAATGACTATAATTCGGCACAACAGTTCTCCCACTTTTTGTCTTATTTTCGGATTCAGTTTTACACTTGATTTATAAGACAGAACGACAAAAATTTTTATCATATATATTTGTCAATGTTCAGCTATTCATTGTGAAGGAAGTAATACGTTAATAAAGTCGCTTGATCTCACCTTTTTCGCCAGAATTGTAGCTCCTTCAGTATTCTTTTTTTCATCGCCATCTGCATCTAGGACATGTTTGCGTGGTAATTCGTCAAGCTCAGTGGTGACGAGCTCAATCGCAGTAGTAGCAATTCTCTGATGTTGAATAACTTTTTTCTGTCGAATTTCAGCTTTATTCGCTTCGATCTTTTCATCGTCACGCATACGTTGAACAGCTTTTTTAGCAATTTCAAACCAGTGTTCTCTTTCAGGTCCTTTCCATTTCACAAGTAATTTGGAGGCATACTCAGATACATATTTGGGCAAATTTGAATTATTCTTTGATAGTGATTGTAAACTCTTGCAGGCAATTCCAAAGAGATCATTTTCTAACAATATCGGCTTTGTCTTTAACAAATCACAAACGTAGGCGTTTATTAAATGCCATTCTTTCAGTGGCCTCGTAGTAACATAGGAGTCATGATCTTGATTTGTGGTGCCACAAAATTTTGTAGTTTACCTAAATATTCTGAGGACATCGCAAAACGCACCAGATTTTCCGATCTACAACAAATTATCCGCGATTTTGGTGTAACGTAACACGATCAGAAAAAAACAAAAAACAGCATAAGAAACTATTAATGGATCTGTGGAAACCGCGCATCTATAAATGAACAACCGCCCATTAAACGTTCCACGTATTCTTAGCCTTTAATCGAGGGTAGTTGTAACTTGTGTATCTTGAGGGCAAACCCAAGTCTTCTTTTGGAGTTTGTTTGCTTGATAACTTCCACTCTTTGGGTGGTTGCGGTTGCGATTGCCTTCACATTATTCCTATGTCAACCGACTGGCATGGCCTGTCCAAGACTTATGGAGTCGCGTACTCTGGAAGATGTATCGTCATTCGACAGCTATAGCAAAAAGGATCCAAAAGTCAATCAAACTAATATGGCGATGTATTTTCTTTATGCGGGTACCATACGGTTAAATATTAAGCGCGAAACTTTATTAATTCTTGGTAAAATTATGAACCTTTTACATTAATTGTCTTTCTTAGTTCACGAATGTACATAATACACGTCCCTCCATATATGTTCGAAGCCGGAGAAGTTGATATATCAAATATCTCCTGGAGTCTATATTGAAGAATGGTAGGAAATAGGGATGTCAACGGTCGATCATGGTCATGAACGAACCGACCGCGATCATGACTGCAAATTTAAAATGCAGCTTATCGTATTGATTAATAATCAATTTTAATCAACACAATCTGTTTTTTTTTTTACTCATTGCTTATCATTCTAATACAATATTGAGCGAAACACACAAGTATTACAAAGGTTGAGAAATCTGAAAATTTTTGGTCACCTTGATAAGTGCTTTCAACAGACAAGAATAAGCCAAAACTATACAAGAAAGAAAATGACAAAATGAATACCAGTAGATAGACGATGAGATAATTCTAACAATAATAAGATATTGCTTAGATGATGTATGTACATAAGCAGGTGGGCTTTTGTATTTTTGGAAAAGCATAGAATTTTTTATGTAACAGTCAACTAATCAGAAACCATATTGTTAGCACATGATATCAAAAAAAATTAATAATTATTGAACTATACAGTCAATTAACAAATGTAATTTATATATTTATAATTTAACTTTGAAGTAAAATAAGTTGTATTTTAAAAACATAAAACTTTTATTTAATTTATAATAACAATTTATAAGTATAAAAACTTTAGTGGAAAAGTTTTTGATAAAAAGTTATATGTTTTTTAATGATATTATTAAATTTTATATAATTACCAAAATTACATTATTATATATATAAAATAACTTATATTGAATGAAATATTTTTTAAAAAATATACAATTTTTGAAAAGTTATAAATAAAATAAACATGATAATTATTATTATTATTATTATTATTTTACTTTAAGTAGTTACACTGATATTTTATTAGAATTCTTGAAACTATACAAATTATATAGAATATTTTTAATATTCAAGTTTAGCATCATCTGGTCACCTTATTGGTATCTAAGTGCAACTTGCTACATTACTTTAAACAAAAGTAAATGTCTTGTCAGATTATTATTCTACAATAAAATATTACCAATCTGATGACATCTTCTTGTAGGAAGGTAAAAAACAAAAAAAGAATTTTATATAAAAAAAACAGAGTTATAGAAGTAAACAATAAAAGATACAAGACAAGAAATAAAAGAAAAAAGAAAATAGATGAAAAAAAAGAAAAAAGCATAAAACTTGTAATTTACAAAATCAGATAATCATGATTTTAAGTCTTTATCAAATGTGAAACTTGCAATTTACAGATATTAAACAACTACAATTATAAGCCTATGTTGGAGTTTTAAAAATTTTAAACTATACTAAATAGAAATTACTTTACTATTTTTTTATTTAATTAGATTATTTAACAAAAAACCAAAAAAGAAGAAAAAGTTTCAACTTGATTATAAAGAGTTAACATAGAGCACTAGTTAGTCTAAAGACAGTATTTAACTAATTTTTAATAGTTCAAGATATGTATAGTTATATTTGTATTACTGTATTGTTTTTAATTCATATTATCAACAATTCTATTTAGAAAATAAACATTTTAATAATTTTATATATCAATCTTTAAGAAAAGTAAACTAAATTACTTACTTTTACAAAATTTTTCTCAAAAAAAATAGAAATAATAGGTAAACCAACTTTTTAGCTTTTGTAAATTCTTAACCCTTGTGAATATTTTTTGTAAGTTTTATAGTTATATAAATTTAATATATCTAACTTTATTGTTTATTTAATAAAAAACTGTAGCATTTATTAACTATTTTTTCTATAGTTTCAGAGTGCTCTTTAAACTATTATTACAAGATTGCAATTCATTTTTAACTCTATTTTAATATCTAATAATACATGTACAGTATTCCTAAAAGGTTTTTATAAAGTTTAATATATTAATTATATTGTTTTTTCATAGTTTAGCTTTTTGAAAAGTTTGGTTCAAGTAATTATCAAAAAGAGTTGTTAATTATTTAATTAATAATAAATAAAAAAAAACAAACCAATATTAAATTCTATAAATTAAACAGTATAATATATTTTTATTACCTTTTATTATACAGTAAACAAACTTTAACTTTTAATAAATCTATTTTTTATAATATAATTTATTGCAATTTAAATTAATTTTTTTAACAAGATGTCTATTAGAAAGTTTTTTAATTAGTAAAGTATTATATAATTTAAATTTATTTAACACAAATCAAAAAAGTAAATAAAGTTTAATAAAAGTTAAATAATAAAAAAATCTGTTATTATTCTACCTTATATTTGCAATATAATAGCAGAATAATAGTAAAATAACAAAAAATTTGTTAATATTAGTAACATAATAATATATTAGTAAAATAATAGAATATTTTTATTAATTTACTTTTAGCTACAAAAATTAAAAGTAAAATAATAAAACTGTTTTATTATTTTACTAATATATTACTATTATATTACTAATATTAACAAACCTTTTATTATTTTACTATTATTTTGCTATTATGTTGCTATTATATTATTATTATTTAGCAGATATAAGATATAATAGCAAAATTTTTATTATTATTTAACTTTTATTAACCTTCATTTACTTTTTTAACTTGTATAAGTTTGCTAATATTTAAAAATTCTAAGTTTATATTAAAAAAAGAAATAATTTTTTCAATAATTTTAATTAAAATAGCATATTTTATTTGCTAAGAACTGTCATTATAATTGTTTTTATTAATTGTTACTTGGTTTTCTTTTTTAGTTTTATATATTTGTGTTTTTTTAACTATATAAAAAGCAATAATAGGATAATACATAAAATCTAATTATAAATATACAAACTTAATATCTGTAACTTTCTTTTTAATATTTTTTATAATACTTTTTACAACAAAATAAAAATTTTATATATAAAAAAAACTTTTTAATATTTATTAACTACAATATAAAACCAAAAAATAAAAATAAAAATTGTTATAAAAATATTAACTGTAAAATATTTATTAGTCAAAAATATCAATAAAAATATTATATATAAAAATTTACTTTCTAAATATCCAATAAATATAAGTTCTTCACTTGCTTATAAAGCTTCATATATATGATTCTAAGTATAATCAAAACTTCTTTTTACTATAAATTTATTTGTTTTTTTTAATAATTTAATTATAGCATTTAAACCTGTTTTAGTACTAATTTTAGCAATTTTAATAATACTATTATGCATTATATCTTAATAATTAAAATATTATTTATAACTACTTTGATGCATAATTTTACAAAATGCTAAAATTGGTTTTAATTCTTCTTTATTTACTCTAGCAGCCAATCTTGCACTAGTAACAGCTTGAAAAAAAATTATTTGTTGAAATTTATTTTATTATATACTTGTTGATTAGCATATATAGCATGTTATTATAATTTTGATCAAAAATCTAATAATTTTAATTTTATATTTTCACTGTTTAATTTCTATTAATGCACAAGCTGAACAAGATTGATTTATAATTAGTTCAAGAAATATTAATTAATATTGAATATCCTAATTCTCTTTTTGTAATAAGTGTATTAATAATTTCTAATATGCTCAAAAAATTTAATTTATTAGAATCATTCATTTTAGATTTATTATTATATACAAAAAATAAGTATTATTTAGTTATATTATATTATAATATTATATATAAATATTTAATTTACCTATATAAATTTAAATTATTTTTAATTTATTTTGTAAGCTTTTAACATTTTCTTGTAATAAATAAAGCTTTTTAATAAGATTTTGGTATTATGCTTTAGTATTAATAAGCTGAATAGCTATTGCTTAAACAATTGTAGATGCAACATTTTTTTAGTCTTTAGTTTGAACTGGCAACTTATTTTTAATTATTATTCTATTAGTTGTATTACAGTTTTTTAATTCACTTTGTAATTTTAGTTAATTTTTATTTAATTAGATTATAAAACTTGTTTCATTTTTTTTTAATATTATAAATTATATGCTTATTTAAAAAAATATTAGAATATTCATTATTTACAAATCCTTGAAGCTATTAAACATTTTCTGTACATGTTAGGCCTATTAAGTATGTTATAGAAATGTCATCCTTATAGTTAATTATTTTATTATTTTTAATATAATTTTGTAAACTAGCTAATGAATCAGATAAGAAGTTTGATACAACTGAGTTTTGAAAACTATTATTTGTACTAAAATCTGTTTATTTTGTAAAAAATAATTTTATGAATCTTACACTACTCAAGACATATAAAAAATAATGTTTACCAAGATGTATATATTAAGAAGTCCTAATTTGGCAAGTCTGTTGCTAATTAAAAGTTAGCTTTATATAACATTTAGATGGTTTTTGTCGAAAAAGACATGTAGATTTGGTAAGTAATTTTGATTCAAGTCTGGTTTATCTTGGATAGTCTACATTATGTTAAGACTATCACTTTATTATTTTAGAATTACAGTATTCTATACTACTTCAGAAATACTATACTAACAGAAATAGAATTTATTAATATTATAGGTAAGTATTTTATTATAACAATGATTTTCTACAGTCACTCATAAAAGAACCTTTATTTAATATATGCAAGGTAGAGTATTTATTAACTTCTTATATCAAAATCTACCTTATTACTAAAATAAAATTACAAGTTATTTATAAGCAAAATTCTATCTATTGTTAGAGTGCCAATATTCATTATTACACTTATAATGATAATAGCACTTATATCATATATATTAATTATACTGATTATAATCAATATATGTAATATATGCATTATAATTATTATAAGCACAGAATTTTAACTTTGGTAAAATCTTTTTAGCTAAGACAAAATTGTAACTAATGATCATGCAACAATGATCTTATGATAAAATTGATAACTCATTGATTATATGTTCTGGATCTAGCAATATGTACTATATTCTGAAATTAAAAAAATATAAACTTTGCTATTTTTGTCTAAATTAATATTAATAATAAATAAAGTTTTAATAATATATTTGAACTAACAGATAAAAATTAATGCTCTGATAATAAAGTAAGCAAACTAGAGTTTTCATATATAAATATAGATTTATTGAGTTATGAATATTTGTAATAGTAATTATTTGTATATAACAAGTTGTTAAAATATTTATAACAGTTCTATAAAATTAAAAAAAATTTAGATTACAGAATCTTGATCTAATAATATTGGATTCAAAATCTCGATAATCTAAAAATAGACACTATTAAAAATTATATATACAGTTGATTCTGGATATACTGAATCTGGTTATACTGAAATTAGGTTATAATAAACCAAATTTGGCAAAACCAATTTTTAATAATAATTTAGGCTAATTATATTAAACTTAAATATTAAATTTTTATTTTTTTTTTAATTTTTTTTTTTAATATTAAAGTCCTTGCCTTTGGAGATCAATTTTTTTATTCAAGTATTAGACACAAATGCCTCCAAGGACTTCTATATATAGGAGGTTACAACTAGCTACATGTGCACTTTTGGTATCTAATTTAAGTAGTCCATCTATACATTACTATACAGGTTCTACACTAGGTGCCATACCTGCAAGCCAACTACAGATCTTGTCTATTTAAACCATATGCATATGTAATCTGACTTGTGATCATGAGAACATCTTCTGGGCTACACCCTTTCAAAGTATCTGATGCTTTCAAAACCCTTAGGACTAGTTTATTCTTGACAGGAAACTTACTAGAACCTTCTGTGTCTTATATACAGCTAATTAGTTTTATGCAATATGCTATAGTTACCTAACACTTGCAGTCATTAGGGTTACCTATTTAACTGTTACATTATACTATTTTTATCCTTGTAAAGTTTACTAGAACCCCAGTACCTATTATCATGATGTCTTTTTTATTATCTCTTACTAACTGCTACTTAGGACCAACAGAACTCCTCTAACTTCCAATTCAGATAGCCTGATATAGTATACTTATGTATCTTTTTCCTTTAGCAATTCTGGCAGCCTGGTTGGTTATGTGCTTTTTTACACATCTTGACATCCAGTTTATCTGCTTATCTCTTTGGAAGTGTTTTAAGGCTTCCATCAGTCTGACTGTACTATTGAAAGTTCATGCTACTTCTTTACTTAAAATTTTCTAAATGGGCTTCTAACTCTTCAGTTCTTTAGTTTATTGTGCCCAATGGTCTTATCATAAATTTGTACTGAAGTTTTATGCAATACTGGTTATTAACATTCCTCTATATATATATAATGTTATACTTGGTATAGATGCTCTGAGCTCCTATTCAAGATGATGTGACTTAAGGTTACAGATACACAAATCTAACCAATCATAAAAAGACAGTTTGCTATAACACAGATTAATTTCCAAATTTCATCATAAGTAGGATTTGAACCTTAGACCTGCTACTTAAAAAATAACAATCTGACTACTACCTAGAATCATCATTCTCTAATATTAAATTTTTATATACTGCATCTGAACTATTTTTTATTAGCTCATAACTATCTATACATTTTTCAATATAATGAACTAAAATAGACAACATTTAAAATTTTCATTTGTCTTGTTAATTTTATAGTTATTGTAAAAATCTTTAAATATTCAGAAAATATATCAAATAGAAGATATGAATAAATCATTATGTGATGCTACAGTTAAAATAAACATTTATAAAAACATTTCAAAATTATTAATGACAAAGAAAGAGCTCTCATTTTAACTAATTGAATCACAGCTTATTCATATTTTATTTTTTCTCATCATTTATATTAAGATATATTGCAACTACTGTATTTTTTATATTGTTCTTCTAAAATACATTGCAGCTACATGCATTGCAGCTGCATACATTGCAGCAACTTTTTAAATAAAGTATCCAAAAATCTGCAATTTTTATTTTATTATTTTTTACAATAGATTTTTGTAGCTAATCTGATTAGCAATATTAATATTATCTAGTAGATCTTTGCAGAAATTTGATTCAATTTAAGCCAATTATTAAGGATTATTTTGGGTCAACAAAATTTAATTATTATAGCATTTTCATAAATTCTAAGACAACTAAATTTGGCCAGATTTGATAAGTTTTTGAATTCAGAGTTATCAGCATTATTGCAATGCTATAAATCTAATATTGATAATACTGAATTCAAAAACTTATCAAATTTAGCTGAATAATCATTGGTCAATTTTTATCAGTTGTTCTAGAATTTATGAAAACAGTTATAAATATACTATTTAATTGTGAATTCTGTCAACCAGTAAATTTAGCATATATGTTACAAAAATTGCAGAATTCTAAACAGCTTATTTTTATGATATATTGCAATATTATGAGTAAAATAACAAGTGTTGTAAATATTTTTTCTTTTTTGCATTATGCTCTGTTTGCCTTGCTCTGTCAAAACAATAGGTATAGATAAAAAGAATTGTTATCTAATATTTTGCATAAATCAAAAAAAAATAATAATTACTAATTATTTTATTGTTTTAATTTTATTTTATAAATTATAAATTAAAAAGCTAGACTATTTTATTTTTGTTCAATAATAGTCTTAATCTGATTATCTATTTTTGCAAAACAATAAAAATAAAAATATAATTTTATTAATATGTATATATATATAAATTATAAAATTTCTATATTAAATACAATAATATTACCTGTAGTTTTATTTATAGTTTAAAATATCTTAACATTATATTAACAAAAAAAGAGTTGTTTTTACTGCTGCACAAAAACATAAAATTTGCAAAACAAAATTAAAATATTAAAAACATAGACCTCACAAACTAGTATTCTGTTAGTAAGTCAACAATAACTAATATTTTAAAAAAAAAAGAAAGATGGTTAGCTATTGCAGTTGAAGAACAAGAAGAGATAAAAAATTTTGCAAACCAAAATGGCCAAAATTAATGAAGCTCTTGGCCTCTGAGTAGATAATGTGCTTAATACTAAACAAGATATTAATAGTTATATTTTTAAGACAAAGCAAAGTTTTTTGCTGATCATCTTCATATTAAAAATTTTTATTAGTCTAATAGTTGGCTTACTGGTTTCAAAAAGCATAATGAACTTCATCAATTTAAAAAAGAAGATAAAGTGACAAGTATATCTTTTATAGAAGAAATATCAGAAGAATGGTTTAGATTATGAAACTTATTTTAATTTTATAATCTTGAAGATATTTGAAATACTGATAAGACTAGGCTTTATTGAAAAATAGAACCTTTTTATGTTTTAGCTTGTTCAAAATTGGCAGAACACAAAAAAACAAAAACACAAGCAATAATATTTTGTGTTGTAAATGCAAGTGGAACTGAAAAAATAAAGCTAGCATTTATTCATACTTTCAAGAGACTTTATTTTATGCAAAATATTAATTATAATAATCTTTTTGTTTATTATTATTGGAACCAAAAAGCTTAGATGAAAACTACTATATTTAATAAACTTCTTCTTGAACTTAACAAGAGAATGAGCCAAAAATATCAAAAAATTATACTTTTAGTTAACCGAACATCAGTACATGCTATTCTTGATGAAACTCAAAGGCAACTAGATTGTGTAAAGATAGAATTTCTTCTAGCATATATAATTTCTGTTCTTTAACCTTGTAATGCAGAAATTATATATTCATTTAAGTGCTACTACAAAACTCTCTTTTGTTCAAAATATAATTAGTACTTATAACAATATGCAAAATGGAATAACAAAAGAGATGGCTGAATATAATGTTTATAATACTATACTTAATATAGCTAAAGCATGGTCTATGGTGTCATTAAATACTATTAAAAACTGTTGAAAAAAAATAGGTATTCTTTTACAAGAAGGTTTTGAAGAATTTAATGAAACTTTTAATAATATGTAAATATATTTAGTAGTAATCAAATATACATTTTAAGGAATTCATATATATTAAAACACAAAATACATCAACTAATATCTAGATAAATAAATCTTTAATGGCCAATATAAAAAATTTTTTCATATTTAGTAATGTGGATGATGAATTAAAACTCTCAGAATTAATTGACAATTTACTAATAAATGAAACAAATAATCATCTTATTGTATTTGATTATATTTATATTGAGGATAAAGAAGTTAATGAAGGTCTTACCAAAGAAAAGATCTTGAAAATTGTTGAAAGTAAAAATAAGAAGAAGAAAGAGGAAGAAAAGGAGAAACAGAGAGAAGACCTTGTTGAAAAAGTAAAAATTAGCTATACAGAGGCAGAAAAATATGTGAACTAAACTTAAGATTTTTATATAAGCAGAAACCAGAGTTCAGAAATGTTAAAGAAAAAATAAATATTTTATGAAAGTTGCATAAGAGAGTTAGATTAAATGTTATAAAAAACTTTAAACAGGCTGATCTTAATTTTTTTTAAATGCTGAATGAAGTAAATGTTTTTTTTATTAAAATACAAGTATAAAATTTAAATTTGTATATATATACTATTTATATACTATTTGAAATGCTTGCAGCTTATATACATAAAAGAAAAAATAAATGAGTGTAAAATTGAAATGATGTTTTAGTTATATGTAATAATTCTATTAAACAGCTCTATATACTGAACAGTTTGGTATAAAGAGAACAAACCATATACTGAACTCATTCTATATTGAACAAAACCCTCCAGACGCTGCAGTTCAGTATATTCAGAGTTGACTGTATATATCTATTTCATTTAAAGTAGCCTATATACAATTTTTATTTATAATTACTTATTATAGTATATAGTAATTATAAAAGGTGTTTATTAAAAGTAAATCTAATCACTTACAACTCTCCCTGATGATTACTTGTACTGAATTTCATATCAACAAAAACAGAAAACTTATTAGAGAAAGTAGAAGAGGCTACTATATAAATAACAGTTTTTATAAAGGTCAAAG